GGGGGCGGGGCCCGCAGCAGGTGAAGCCGGGAGGAGAGGGCACCCGTGCACCCCCAGCTCCGCGAGGGGGCGACCTGGGTCCTCTCGCTTCCTCCCGCCCTTCTCCTCGCCGTCCCCGGATCTCCGGGCTTTCCGCGGTTCCCAGCAGCCAGGGCTGGGGGAACAAAACATCTGGAAGATGGTGTGAGGTGATGGAGGCAGCTGGAAGCTCAGAGGCCGGGGTTCCCGGGAGGGGCTGACTCCGAGGGCGGGAAGTCTGTTCTAGGCTGATATGGGGCCAGGATGTCTAAGTATTCTGGGGAGGGATGGTGCTGAGCTGGGTGGGACAACGGGGTCTCCTCCATAGTAATGAGCCGAGGTACGGGTTGGGGAGTGCAGTACGGAACGTTTGAGCCCCAGATGTTTCTTCTGGCTTTGCAGCAGGACGCTGGGGGCTGGGTCTCAGATACGAATTGGGGGGTTGAAGAAGGATCTGAGGTTGATCATTAGCCAGAATCTCAATGTCTGGATCTTTGGGGAAGGTCTGAGTGAAACTGCAGTTCATGGTTCAGAAAAAGTGGAAATAGAGTAGGTTTGTATTTTAGAGAAACTGGAAGATGATAGAAGACCCAGAATTAAGGCACGATCCTGCAGAGATGACCTGGGTGGGGTGGGGGTGGCATCTCTGGGACTTAACTGCAGGCCATTCGCTACAAAGGAGAGCGTGGACTGATGAGGTGGAAGGGAGGTTGGAGGGTAGGACAGAAAGTAAGAGCTGGTGGGCCTTCAGGACACCTGGATTAAGAGCCAGTGGGGGGATAGGGCTGGAGGCGGGCAACTGGCACCCCACCTCGAGTCTGCGAGGTGCCTCGGGAAGATGCAGCTGCTGCAGCTAGGACCTGTCTGTACCTGCCTTGAGAGGGAGGGTGGCAGGCGGATTTCCCAGAATGCTGAGCAGCCAGCTTCCGGCCAACCCTAGCCAGAGGGAAAGGGGGTGTGACTGGGAACTGGAACTTTTGGGATTCAGAGAGCTGAGGCAGGGAGGAAGAGACCAGCGGAAAGATGGTGAGATTGGAATCCTGGGAGTTTAGTCAAGGAAAGGGATTTTGGGTTCTGGAGGGAATTTGGGATTAGGTGGCCAACTAAGAAGCAGTAAGTCTGGGTTCCTATTTCTGGGCCCCAGCAATTTTTGCCCTCACCAAATGATCTAGTTGAGAGAAAAGATCTGTTTCTGAAAGTGCCAAGGCACTCCAGCTCAAGGGCTCAAGGGCTGGGTGCCAACGCAGGTCCTGTTCTGATCCAGAGGCTGAAATACCTCAGGAAACTATGACCTTACTGCCCATGTCTGGCCTCAGGGGAGGCTGTGGGGTCTCTGGGGCCATCAGAAGTCCTCTTGCTGTTGGTCGGACCTGCCATCACTCATGCTGTTTGACTCCTGTACCATAAACCCTGCTTCTCCTTGGACCCTGCTTCTTCTCTTCCAGAATTTTCTCTCCTGGGTGGGCTCAGACTAATCAAGGGCCAGCTGACCAGCGATGCGTCCCTAGCCCTCAGCCCTTGTCTACCCCGCTAGAATTTTTCCAGGGACTCTGAGTTAAGGAGGTCTCAGAAGAGGGGTTTCTTAGCTTACTAGGAGGAGGCAGCTGACTGGAGGGCGGGGTGACCTTGCCGGAAGCTGGGGGGGGAGCAAGTGGGGTGAATTCATTATTGATGAGCCCTGCACCCTGAGCTACTAATGAGCCCAGGCTGGCTGCTCTAATTGATGTCAAGAAATTTGAGACCCTCGGATCGTCTTCCCGCCTGCCAGCTGCCTTTTCCAAGCCCCCTCCCCCACCCCACACCCCCAGCTGCTCTCTACTCTCTTCACTCTCTTCCCCCCTCATTTTCATCTCCATCAACACAGACAAGGAAAGGGTTCAGGCTTTCTAGCCCCCTACTCCCATGTTCCTCTAGATCAGTCCAGTCTCAAGGTGGGAGGCACACTTGTGCTGCAGAGTTGGGAGATTTGGAAGAGGAAATCCAGCCCAGAAGCTCAAGGGCAGAGAGCCTGGTACTAGACTACATTTGCGGCATTTCTGAGCCCAAGGAATTCCTTCCTTGAATTGTGCATCCAGGGGAGAGATTTTGTGGCTCTCAAAGCACAGGCACCACGCACTGACACACCCATACACCAGCTTAGTACTCACAGCCCACTTCCTTTCCTCATTTCCTCCTCACAGCAGTGATAGAAATTTCAGATTTGGCCCCTGGAGCTTGGCTGCTGCCACCCCACCCATTTCCCGAGAGGGGGCTCCTCTCAATGGAGATACAGCATGGGGTTTTCCTCCCTTAGGCCTTCCAGGGCCCTATATCGTGGTCACCACCCCTGGAAATCCTGGGCGACGGCCTCATGTCTCTTCCTCCTCTTCTTCCCTCTGCACTGATGGGGTCTGGGAAGACATCCCTAGGTAGAGAATTCAGACTCAGAAGGCGCAGTGTGAGGGTGGTCCAGATGTGGCCTCCCAGGAGAAATAATTGGAAGTGATGCAGGCACTGCTAGGTAGGAGCCTGAACCATAGCCCTGGTGTCAGGTGAAGCGGTGGACCTCACACTCTCCTTCCCCAAAGTCCCATAAGTTTGTGGGTATGCTGCCCTCTGGTGGCGATTTTCTGCTCTAACCTGACATGGACATCTTTGCCTCCAAACAACCCCATTCTTCTCTTGCCGCAGCAGAGATCCGGACAGGCCCTGGGGAAAGGGGGCGGGGATGGGATGGGCCAGGGTTCTCGTGTTTCCAGAATTTCCTTTCAACGAGAACTCTGTGACATGGTTAAGAACCGGCTTGCACAGTCAGACGCGACTAAGTTTGATTTGTTCTGGGACACACTGTGTGACCTTGGGCAAGTTATATAAACTTTGGGCCTCAGTTTCTCCTTGTGAAAATGGGGTTAATAGTAACTACGTCACAGGACTGTTAGAAATCAAACAAAATAACGTATGTAAATTAAACACCACCCCTGCCACCAGCACACAACAGCAATTAAAACAATAGAAAAACCCCAACTGGCAGCCCTTTAACTTAGGTCTATGGCTTTTCTCTCATTTAATTACTCTTGATTTAAGGAAGCCTGGGTGTCTTGCACCATCCTCCCCACCTTCAGCTCGGAGCCACCCCCAGCATTCTAACTTTATCTTCAAGCACCTTCCATCATCTCTTTGACCTTGGAGAAGTTGGGGAGTGGTCCTTACGCCTGAAATCCAGGGTAAGGAAGCCAAGAGACAGGCATCTCCTTCTGAATATTGAGAGCCAGGATGCGTCTGGAAAGAGTGGGGTGGGACACAAATTGCAGCTCTGGTCAGGGGGCACTGGGTTGGGTTTATTGCACTTGCAACAGAGTTTAAATAATTCCGGGAATCCGGAGCTGAGGGGGGAGGGGGAGGGGTGGGCAGGAGAGGAGAGGCAGCGTCAGTGCAGCTGGCAGCAGAACCCAAGCCCTGCAGGCCCACTACTCCCCTTTCCTGGGAGGAATGACCTGGGCCTGCAGACTGAGGTTCCAGATCTGTTGCCAGCACGGTCTTGTCAGGGCCCTTGGCAACTCCTGACTTCTCCCAAGTCAGGGCTGATGTGGCCTGCAGGCCCAGGTCTGGAGCAGGACCCACATGTCCTGGATCTGCTTGGATCAGGTTATCAATGTCTGAGTCTGGATTCCAGATCAACTCTGAGCCCCAGACTGGATCTGGTTCCATTCGAGTTCTGATTCCCCCTGGAGCTGAGTTCTGGTCCAGCATCCACCTTTGTCTGGGTTCTGTCCTGAGCTGATCCTGGGGAAACATCCATGGTTAGTGTTTTCTTGGCCCACCAGGGTGGGGCTGCTGCAGCTGCCAGGTCTCACTCCCCTGGTCCCAGGTTCTTAGCTGCGGCTTCCGGTGGATCTTCCACAAGGCTGACAATATATCCTTGCAGGCTGGAGCTGGACCGGAAAGCCTGATGGCAAGTTTGGTGCAGGGAACTGTAACTGGATTCCCTGGTTATGGTTCCAAATTGTTTTCAGAAACTCTCCAAAATGCAAAGGCTGAAGAAAGGCTGGGGCCTCTGTCCCTGGGTCTGAGCCCTCTATCCACGAGAGGGCTTGTAAACGAGGGTCCTTCACAGTGCACGGGGGGGAGGGATCCCCAGCTTCTTACCCCCCTCCCTGGCTCTGGCCCTTCAAGTATGTCTCTGGGCTAGGGAGAGGAGCTTCTCCCTGGCCCTCAGCACCTTCAGGAAGTGCCCAGTCCTCTCCCATCAGCAGACTGAGGGTGGAGGGACTGGATCTTCAGGATTGGGAGTCTGTGATCAGGACGACTCAGGCATCGGAGGTGGCTGGAGGCTTCAGCTGAGCTTTTTCCATGGCAGTGCCATATGGGAGGGAGCGTTTGAAGAATCCAAGCTGATAAGGGGGGAAAAGAAGGGAGAGTTTCAGTACTACCATTTCTCCTCAGCTCTTATCTCAAGAAGAAGCAAAGAGGGAGCTAGTGCTCCCCATCCCCTCATCCAGTAAAAGCGGCTTCTGAGTTCAGTCTAACACTGTTTCTCCCAGAGGTCCGGTGAAACAGGAGGGCTAAAGCTAGGAGTGATTTAATAAGGGGAATCTTTAAGCAGTGCTTTGATGACCCTAGTTAAGCCAGGAGGGGAAAGTAGTTTGAACTCAAGTGCGAAGTCTGATTGCCTAGTAGTGGTTGCCTGTTGAGGCTTCTAGGCCACTTCTAAAATATGATCAATTGGCTAGGGATTTGGCTCAGTGGTTCTGCCGCCTGCTTTGCAAGCGTAAGGGCCTGAGTTCCTAGTACCCAAAAAAAAAAAAAAAAAAAAAAAAAAAAAAAAAAAAAAAAAAAAAAAAAAAAATCTAAAAAAAAAGATCAATTAATTCTAGGCAACAGAGACATGACAGGGGACATCACAATTCCCAACTTGAAAGTATACTACAAAGCCACTGTGATTAAAAAAAAAACCCAGCATGGTACTGGCAAAGAAACAGACCCAAGGATCAGTGGAATAGATTAGAAGATGTAGAAACAACTCCAGACACACTCAGCCACCTCATCTTTGACACAGGGAAGATAGCCTCTGCAATAAATGGTGTTGGAAAAACTGGATTTCAACCTGCCAAAGATTAAAACTAGACCCCTATCTTTCACCATGCACTAAACTAAAATCCAAGTGGATTACAGATCTAAATATTAAAACAGAAACGCTAAACTTGCTGGAAGATAAGTTAGGTAGAACTCTTGAAGACACTGCCATAGGAAAAGACTTTATGAACAAATCCTCAGTAGCATGGGAACTAGCACAAAGAATAAAAAACTGGGATCTCATCTTTTTTTTTAATCTCACCATATTAAAAAGCTTCTGCAGTGCAAGAGAAACCATCAACAGAACTAAGAGACAACTTACAATGTGGGAAAAACTTTTTACCAGCTGTTCCTCAGACAAAGCTCTAGTACCTAGAATATATGAAGAACTCAAAAAAATCAGACCACCCAAATATAAAGACCTGATTCAAAGATGGGCATCTGATATGAACAGACATTTCTCAGATAAACAAATAAAGCAGCAAATAAGTATATGATAAAATGTTCAACATCAGTGGTCATTCGAGAGATGCAGATGAAAACAGCACTGAGATTCCACATCACCCCAGAAAGAATGGCTGCTATCAAGAAATCAACCAATAAAGCTGGGCATGGTGGCTCACACCTGTAATCCCAGCACTCAGGAGGCTGAGGGTAGAGGATCACTGTGAGTTTGAGACCAGCCTGGGCTACATAGTGAGTTCAGGTCAGTCTCAACTACATAGTGAGACCCTGTCTCAAAAAAAAAAAAAAAGAAAAAAGAAACCAACCAATAGGGCCGGGGATTTAGCTCAGAGGTTCTGCTGCCTGCCTTGCAAGCGCAAGGACCTGAGTTCGATCCCCAGTACCAAAAACAAAAAGAAATCAACCAATAACAAATGCTGGCAGGGCTGTGGGGAGATAGGAATCCTTCTCCATTGCTGGTGGGAGTGCAGACTGGTGCAACCACTGTGGAAGTCAATACGGAGACACCTCAGACAACTAGGATTAGAGGTTCCATTTGACCCGAGCACACAGCTGGGAGACTGACCCTGAGGGGGATACTTGGGATTATGCTACGTTAAGGGCACAGTGTGATGAGAGGGTGGCCAAGTCACGGGCAGGATGCAGCTGACCTTGTAGAGGACGTAGATGAGCAGACCTAGGAGCAGGAGGCCAAAAAGGATGGCTAGGATTATAATCCACAGAGGGACACCATTGCTGCCTTCTGCCTTGGTCCACTGCACAGATGTGGCCACCTGCAAAGCAAATCAAGACAGGGCGTGAGAATCCAGAAATTCTTCCTACTGACACATGGGGCCTACCTGCCGCTGGATCTAGACTCACCTCCCACTTCTCGTTCTGAGCTAATAGCACTCTGAACTTAAAGACACAAGTTCCTGAAGTGTACAACATCATCTCTTACTTTTGAGCTTTCCTGTCCGGTATTACCTTTCCCCAGAATCTTTCTTTGCTGCCTGGTTAGCCTGAGTAGTTCCTTGAGGTCTCGGAGTACACTTCCCTTTTTCCAGTAAGCTTTTTCTGACCCCACAAGACTAGGTTCAGGGGTTCCTAGAATGTTTCCACAGACACCCTGGCACTTGTCACACTGGACTCACATTGCCTTCGAGGTTGTGAGTACCATTCCTTACCACTATCTGCAGCACTCGCGCAGTTCCTGAACGTAGTAAATGCTCAGTAAAGAGCTGTTACAACAGCAAGGCCAGCTCCCACCATGCTACAGGTCTCAGCACTCTTGAGCCCTGTCTCCTTGTCCCAGACCTCTGGCCTTGGACTTACCTGAAGTTTCTTTTGGGGCAGCTGCCGGGGCAGGATTCGGTAGGGCATCTTTAGGGCTTTGTACTCAGCTTCACACTGCAGGCTGAATGGCTGCTGCTCTTTCTGTGGGTGGGGAAGGGAAGTCAAGGCAGACCCTCTTGAGATTGAGAGGACAAATGGCTTCCCTATGGTCTGGTTTAGACTGTGATCTTTCCCAATTTTTTGTTTTTGTACTGGGTATTGAACTCAAGACCTTGAGCTTGTGAGGCAGGCACGGCACCACTGAGCTAAATCCCCGCCCTCCCTTTTTTGTTTGTGTGTGTTTTTTTTTTTTTTTTTTTGGTACTGGAGATCAAACTCAGGACCTTGCACTTGCAAGGCAGGTGGAGGTACCACTGAGCTAAATCCCCAGCCCCCCTTTTTTGAGATAGAGTCTTGCAATGTAGCCCAGGGTGGCCCTGCACTCACTGTCATCCTCCTGCCTCAGCCTCCTGAGTACTGGGATTACAGGCTTGTGCTACCGTACCTGGCATCTTTCCCTATTTTGGACTCAGTCTCTCCTGATGTTTCTTTTCTTTTTTGGTACTAGGTATTGAACTCAGCACCTTGTGCTTTTGAGGCAGGTGGTGGAACCACTGAGCTAAATCCCCGGTCCTCTCCTGATGTTTCATTTCTTTTATCTTCTTTTCTTTTCTTTTTTTTTGGTACCGGGAATTGAATTCAGGACCTTGTGCTTACCAGGCAGACACTGTGCCACTGAGCTAAATCTCCAACCCACCTGATGTTTCTTATATGAGATAATAAATATGAAACTGAATAATTGTAACTAAAGAATGTATAACCAGACGATTACATTTAATAAAAACAATTTTTTTTGCATGAATGAGTTAATACCAAGGAGAATACCTGGCCATAATGTGTGCTCTATAAATGACTCCTCTTTACTACTGCTACAACTGCTTGCTTGGACACTGGACCCATCTCCTCACGGTTCTACATTCTTTGCCTACTGGTCTCCTTTTCTGAATGGGCTGGGAAAGGGAAGCAGTTACTCCAACTGTGGCCACAAGGTGGCGCCAAAGACACACAACCCGTCTAGAAAAGTCAAGGGAGGTGGCCTAGGGAAAGGGCAGAGTGGTCTAGGGAGGTCCTGGGGTCAGGGGTCAGGGCTGAGGTAAGGTTTCCTCACCTGCAGGAAGGTCTTGGCCCAGACTCGGAAATGCAGCTGCAGACTCAGGCTCTGTTGCCGAGGCAGGGGCCCAAGCTCACAGTGCAGCCTGAAACACTCAGCTTCCGGGCATTTCTGAAAAGAAAGAGGTGGCTTGAACCTGGAGTTCTGCCCTTCTGGTGCTTCTGGAAGCCCAAACAAGTACTCGGCACTAGGGCCCAGACCTCATTCCCAGTGTGAAAGCTTACCAGCTCCTGTGGCCTGGAGGAGGCAGGGCTCCGGCCTGGGGCGTCTCGTCTCCGCAGGTGGTGTGGGGACTCCTCAGGATCCAACTGGAAAAGGAAAGAGAACCAAAGAGAACCGTAGCTGTCTCTACCCATTGCATCACCCAAGTCAGCCTGTACCTGGGTCCACAGCAGCTACAACCTGTCTTTTTATAGATCTGCCCAACCCGCTACCTCTGTGCAAGGCACCACACAAGCTCAGCGCTGAAACGGTTTGTGGAATTTGCATGGAGATGCGTCCCTGCTCCTGCTGCAGGGCCCTTGTACTGGTTGTGCTTTGTCTGGAATACTCTTCGTTGCATCTCACTGCTAGCTTCATCCTGGCTTTCAGGCCCGAGTTTAATCACTATCTCTTCCAGAAGTTTTCCGAGTCGCCACTTAGCCCCATAGTCTCCAGTTACAGCAACACGCTATGCCCTTTCACTGCTTTTCAGCATCTGTAATTTTGCTTTCCTTTTACTTTTTCTTGTCTGTCACCTTCCACTGAGTGCAAGCTCCACGAAAATGGGGACTTGGTCAGTTCTGTTTGGTGTGATTTTTCCTGAGCCTAACAGTGTTCAGTTCATAGACTCACTCAATGAGGTGCTTACGAGTAAGTCCACTGGGAAACGGGTACTAGGGCCCAGAGGAAAAGGTCTGAAGGCTTCCTGGAGGAGGTGGCATAGATCTGGGCCCCAAGCAACAGGGAAGGATAGTTTGGGCAGAACGGCAGACATACAGTGGGTGAGATTTCTTTTCTTCCAGGACTTAGAGGCATCTGTGTCCTCCGACCCCTTCCAGTGGCCTTGTCCCCGCTACAGGCGCATCCCCAGTGCCTCTTATAGGCTTCCTGAGCCTTTCCGGCCCCTCAGCCCTGGGCCTCTGAACCTGCCCCACGCCATGTCCAGGCTCCTCACCTCCAGGCCCTGCAGGTTGGGGGTGTAGTTGGTGGTGCAGTTGCTGAGTCCCGTAACCCTGGTCACGTAGAGGAGCTGATGACCTTCCCAAGTCTGGGGACAGCTGATGTCCAACACACCCTGGCTGATGGTGCTGGGGCCATGGTTGATGAGCTGAGGGGCAAGAGCACAGTCAGTGTGAGAAGGAAGGCGGTGCTGCCTCACCGAGTCCCTGGTCACCATGGCCCCAGTGTATCCTGCTGTAGGGCCCCTGACTTAGACAAATCCTCTTCAGCTGACACGTTTGGATTCAGCTCCATCCTTCCTTTCTGAGCCACCCAACTGGCCTGTCTCTCCTCTGGCTTCTGTCTCAGACCCTGCACATCGCCACCCCTCCCTCCTCCTTCCTCAGTCTCCCTCTGTCATCCACACCAGCTCCTCTTTCCATCATTCCTCTGGCCTGTCCCTCCTCTCCCTCTCCTCAGCCTGCCTCGCGGCTCTCCTTACCTCGTAGACGTGGTGGACAGCAGGGCCCACATCCCGCTCTGTCTGAGGTTGGTTTTGGGGATGCCAGTCACTGACTGGGAAGATCACAGCCTCTGGCTTGGAGACGCTAAGTAGGGGGAGTGGTTAGAACCTCGTATGTACCCTTCCTCAGAAGCCTGCCCCCCACCAGGCCCCATTCTGCCTGGGCACTGACCCATTCAGGGAAACCTGGGCCTGAGCCTCCACGGAGAGCCGGAAGGAGACCACATCGCTCTGCGAGTTGTTGAGATTCTTGCTGTGGGATGGAGGCAAGACTGAGGTGGTGCTAGAGCCCAGCCTTTGAGGATTTCCCCGGCACCAGGTTGGACCAGCTGCCTCATCCGCCCTCTCTGCCCCAGCTCAGCAACTTCCATTCCCTACCTGAGGATCTGGAAGTCAAACTGGATGGTTTCCTTTGTGTCCTGGAGATGCCGGACAGTGAACCGAAGGCCACCCCAGAGCTGTGGGGCAGAAAGCGGGAGAGGAGGCTGTTACCAAGCATTTGCCTCACACTCCAACTTCAGCCTCCTCCTCTACGCCACGGCTGTGCTCGGGACTGGCCGGTCACTGTCTGAGGTCCTTTTTCTCCAGCCCGCACCCCCTTCCGTCCCAGACTTACGCTGGCTCCTGCCTTCATGGGGTTGCCCAGGTCACACACCAGCAGGCTCTGGTTCACAGTAAAATAGTCACAGCTCAGGCTGGAGAAGTTCTGGAGGCGGGTGGTGGGGGACACAGTCAGGTTTGGTGCCCCTCCAGGGCCTGTCCTCCCAGGCCCTACTTCAGAGTCCCCTCTCACCCCTGGGTTTCTGACAAGTCCTATGTACTCAGCCTCCAGAGGGGCTGTGACGCGCAGCTCAGCCTCGTAGGCACCGCCCTCACCCACGTTCTGGGCATGGAAAGTCAAGTTCAGGGAGTCCTTGTTACCCAGGTACACGCGGTTCTGGTCCCTGGAGGAGGTATATAGGGTAAGGGATAGGATACTGGGGGAATAATCCTCAGATCAGGACAATGACCCATTAATAAACCAACGGTAGTAACAGACATCATTAACTGAGTTCCCGCGCTATGGCAGGCACTAGCTAGATACTTTATTTAGATTACTGCATCTAATCCTTCTAAAAGTCAGAGAAATCAATGCTATTATTCTAACTATATAAAGAAGCTTCCAGGGGTGGTAGCATATGCTTGTCTGCAATCCCAGTACTCAGGAGGCTGAGGCAGGAGGACTGCTGGGAGTTTAAGGCCAGCCTGAACTACATGGTGAGACCCCATCTCAGAAAACCAAAAATAGAAAAATTAAAGAAGCTGAAGGATGAAGCTCAGAGTTCAGTGACTTCTCGAAGCCACTCAGCTAGCCTGTTCCTGTTCTACTCTTTTGTGTCCCAGGTGCAACCTGGACCTCCCTGCGTGGTCAGCCTCACTTACCCAAACACTTCCAGCTGAAGGTCTGGCACACAGATATTGTCTTCTCCACAGTCCAGCAAGATCTGAGCCTGGGGAGCAGGGCACCCTTGAGAGGGGGCTTTCTACCATTCCAGGGCTGTAGCATCCCCTCTCCAGGGCCCTGCCCCCAGATGCCCAGGCCTGTCCTTACCTTGTCCTCTATTCGGCTCTTGCTCTGATAATGCAGAACTGGCCGGAGGCCATGGCTGTCCGTGGGGGCTTCGGGGTCCAAGGAGAAGTTGAGGGCGATGTGAATTGGGGAGAGTTTGTCTCGAAATTCTGACTCGTTCTGGGGCCAGGGAAGAGAGTTCACAGGGTCAGGGGACTCCGGGGCCTTGATGGCACTGTTAGCCTCATATTTCTTTTCTACTCGGGTCCCTGTTCTAGCGGTTCAAGGGTTCTGACAGCCTGGCCTGCAGCCACTTTTCTCATCCAAAGAATCTCTCAATGCCTCTCCCTTCAGAGAGGCCCACAGTTTCTTTGCAGTGACTCAAGAGTGAAGGAGGCCTCTGGCTATATATACCCCACCTCAGGGCCATACCCGGAGGTAGATCTTCATCTCTCTGCACTCCTCCCGAGCTCCGTTCTGGATGAGCAGCGTCTCAGACAGGGTTGCCTGTTTGGAGGCCAGGAACAGGGCTCGCCGGATCCCTCCCTTTTGCTTCTGCCAGTCCAGCTGGAGCTCTACCGTGAAACCTACAGCCAGGAACAAAGAAGCTAGGAGAATCTGTCTCTACTTTCTAATCTATGCAGAGGTCCCCAGCCCCTCCATCCCATCCTTCAGAGAGCCAGGCAGGCTTCCTCACCAATGGAATTAGGTACGTGTTTCCCAGAAGCATTGAGGCAGAAGCTAAGGTTGATGCTGGAGAAAGACCAAAAGAAAAGCCAGGTTGTTGCTGAATGTCACCAGAACAGGTGTCCCGTCCTACCTACCTCTCTCGGACTGACCCAGACGAGGACACCACCATTTGTGCCCTTCCTAGGGCAGACTTGGCTTCCCTGCCCACTCCCGGGCACAGATCTCTACAAGTTCCAGGGTCCCGCCTCACCAGGCCACAGGATTCCCCTCCAAGCTGCAGCTGCGTTCCTCTGGGTTGAACATGGCAGGGAAGATTGTGAGTGAGGCGCTGGCAGACACAATGGGGCGACCCCTGCCAAACATGATGTGGAGCAAATGGAATTAAGACTCCTCTAAAACGTGCGCACAAGAACCTCATGCTCAAGGCTCATGACACGGGTGCACTCTGCACTGATTTTCCCAACCTTAGTTCAAAGAGAAATTCCCTATGTCCCCAGGCTGCTTCAGGGCCCCCTTACAATTCATACCTGTACACAACAGCCTTGTCCACACCAAAGGACCCCACAATCAGATCTGCAAGAAGTCAAGAAACCGTCCCTTAACACGCAAACCCCATGGCAGGACCTTTTCTTCCTAATTGCCTGTTACTGCGTATTGCTCCGGGAGGGCCGAAGAAAGGGGACACCGCCATCTGGCGGCCTCATCCTAGAATCGCACCCAGAAGCTTAGGAAAGGTAAAAACAAGGGGTAGAGGTCTACGACCGGGAATTTTAAGGTGAAAAGGGCAGAACTCACCGGGATATCCGTTGCTATCCAAGTCTTGGCCTCCTCGAAGGGCTGAGCCAAAGAAGTCTGGGGTGTGGCCCACTGCCCACAGGGACTGCAGAACCTGGGAAGGCTTAGAGCCCAGCCCACCCGGGCCCCCAGGGAACACAAACACTACTCCCTGTTGGGTCTCCCCACCAAAGGGAGCCCCAATGGCCACATCTGCAAGACATACACAGTACGCATCAGTCAGTAAGCCGGGAACCCAGGGGTCCAGATTACTATTCCAGACCCCAGGATCCCCCCTGCTTTTTTTTTTTTGTTTTTTGAGACAGGGTCTCACTCAGTTGAGTCTGACCTGGAACTCACTATGTAGCCCAGGCTGGTCTCGAACTCCCAGCGATAGGATCCTATTTATCAATCCCCATTTTCTAATCTTTTCCAATTTTAGTATATGTGCTGCTGAAGTGAGCACTACATTTTTCTACTTTTTTTTCCCTGGTACCAGGGATTGAACTCAGGACCCTCAACTTGTAAGGCAGGCGTGGTGCCACTGAGCTAAATCCTTGGTGTCACTAACCTTTTCAAAGCCTAAAACCAGACTTTGCTATTAAAGTTCACGCCTCTCCTTGGAAAGTCCTGGAGCTTTAGTTGACAGACTCCTCTCCTTAAATCCCTTTGGATCCAGCCTCCAATTCATCCTCAGCTCCCTGAGCCCAGGGTGCTTACCGTTGTAGCCATCTTGGTCCAGGTCTCCCAGTGGGGTCAAGGAGCTGCCAAATCGGCCAAACTCATCACGGCCAGTGAGAGTAAAGGTGGGTGTCGGGCCCATGCCAGCCTGGTCTTGCAGGTAGACATAGACTCTGCCCACCTCCTGAGGCCGCCCATCCGCTGTCCGCTCCATGAGCAGGGGTGCTCCCACCAGCAGGTCATCCAGCCTGGTGCGGAAGGACAGATGTCTTGCTACCATCTTCCAAATTCTAGTACCGGAAATCACAGGTATCTTGGACCCTCACGCTCCTCCCACCCAAATTAGGAGACTTGAAGTCTGTCTTTAGCTCTCAGCTCTCTCCTTGTCTCCCAAAAGGGGAATGCAACTATGAGTGAGAATCCAGAGAAAAAGCCCTGGAATGCACCCTGCTTGCCTTCCATCCACACCCTCTCCCCTCCTGAATCGGGAGGTTTGACAGTGTGTCCCTCCTGCTACTCACTCACCCATCCCCGTTGATGTCAATGGCGGCCACTGCATAGCCGAAGTAGGAGGCCATCTGCGGAGGAGGAGACAAAGGGCATACTGGTCAGAGCAAGGTGGAGAGGGTCTCGAAGGAGGATCAAGAGGGACCCTGAGGGGCAGTTCAGAGGCTCTGCGGAGGGTGGGAAATTTGATGTTACTGAATTAAGGCTGGAGCACGGCCGGTGGAGGGCCAAACTGGAGCGTGGCTAGGGAGTCCTCACCTGTTCCCCTGAGAAGTTGTAGAGGGATCGGATGTCTGAGCCATTGAGGATGGTGACCTGGGGGTAAGGAGAGAAGCCCGCAGCTGAAGGACAAATGGATGCAGGATCTCTGGGAGCAGGCCTTCTTCAGACACGCGGCCCGCCTGTCCCTCACCCTCCCTTCCGTGAGCTTTGCTCTCCCATTCCCATTTCTAGGCTGGGCGGTGCCATCCACGACGCTTCGCTTCTCTAGCTTTCTTCACGTCGCTTATCAGCCACTGACAGATTTCACCTTGATCGGTTTGCTGCACGTCTCTGTCCACAGGAACAGAAGGTCCCCTGGGACAGGAGCTTGGTTTTGCTCCTTGCTTTTTCCCCAGAGCCTAAAGTAGCGCCCAGCAAGCAAATTACCCGACACTCAGCCCAGTGCACAGTGGGGCCTCAAGCTTAACACGTGCAAAACCTAAGCCGTTCCTCATTCTCGTCCCCCCGAGCCGTAGGCACACTCAGGCCTTCCCACGTCCCCCTTGGCGACTGGCCCCACCAGGCCCGAGTCTCTGGCTCCTGCTCTCTTCCCCACTCTCGCTGCTGTGACTCCAGGGAGCCCTGGTCAGGGATGCTAGATGGCCTCTCTTCCTGCCTCCACAGCTCCGCCCAGTGCAGCAAGACCGACTGCTCCACAGTGGGCAAGGGTGGTTGCCTCCGGCCTGGACACCCTAATGGTTTCCGCAGTGGCTGCCAGGCCTCCGCCTCTTGGCTGGGTCTCCAAGGTGCTAACGCAGCTGTTTTTGCTTGATCTTCCCTTACTCTCATTATCCTTTTTATCAACCCACGAAGCTGCTAAAGTAGCCTAACATTTCTTTCCTTTCATGCTGCTGCCCGGGATGCCCTCGTGTATCTCCAGAGAGAGCGGCCACTCCTTCCTCTAAAATGCTGCATCACCTGGTCTGCTAATCACGGTGCAGAAAGAACGCTGACTCGGGAATAAGAGAGAGCTGGTTTTAAATCTCCATCCAGCCACTTGCTAAGTGAGCCCTAAACTGTCATCTGCGTAAAATGTGAATGATAACATCCAGACTTATGCAGGGCGTGGTGGCGCACACCTGTAATCCCAGCACTCGGGAGGCTGAGGCAGGAGGATCTCTGTGAGTTCCAGACCAGCCTGGGCTACATAGTGAGTTCCAGGTCAGTCTCAACTACATAGTGAGAACCTGTCTCAAAAAATAAAACAAAACAAAACAAAAAAAATCCAGACTTGTGAAAAATCACATGCCTGCCACAGGTAGGGCTCACAGGTCGTGGTTCCACCTGAGATGAGGACTGTGTGTCTTATCTTGCATACTTGAATAGCAGTGTTTTTTTTTTGATGGGGGGAGACCGGGGATCGAACTCAGGTCCTTGCACTTGCAAGGCAGGTGGCAGAACCACTGAGCTAAATCCCAGGCCCCGATTAGCAGAAAAAAATGGGGCGTGAAGTCTTTTTCATGTTCCTATCTTCTACCTCACCTCCATACATGCTGTTAATTGAAGAAATGCCTGTGGTACTCTTATCTGTAGGGCACTTGTCATGGTCTAATAATAACGGCCACCCATGGCACACCGCCTAACAACTCCCTAAGTATTTTCACATGCATTATCTCACACTACCATTACCAGAGCCTCACGAGGTCAGGACTATTATTATCCCATTAGACGTATAGAGAAGAAAGAGGCTTAGCAAGGTCAAGCAGGAAGCAGGGTATGAATAGAGAACAGAAGACTGATCCAGACTAAGTGCCAGAGAACTGGAACTGAATTCTGACTCCAAAGCCCAAGTTCTGATCCACTTTGGGAGACCTCCAAAACTGCCATGTATGGGTTTTTGTGCTCAGCGAGGGGAGGTGAGTGAGGGGTTAGGCTGGGTCTTACGTAGCCATAGGTGAGGTTCCCTTTGGGCACACCAGCGACAAAGTCTGCAAAAAGAAGAGAGAGTGGTGAGGAAGGGCAACAGCGAGATGGTGAGTGTCCAGGTTCTGCTTTTTCTGTTTCGGGGTTGCTGTGAAACAGGCTCTCACTACGTAGTTCACCATGACCTCAAACCATGCAGCCCAGGCTGGTGATGAGCCTCCCGCCTCAGCTAGGGTTACGGGCAGACGCCACCACGCCCGGCTGAGCTTCTTCCCTTGTATCCCCCCGGCTCTGGGGACACTCACCTTCTGAATCATCACCACTGAATTCACCCACAGCCACAGAGTATCCTGGAGGACGGAGGGGATGGGAGATGTCAGCTTTCCTGCTTCGGGGCCCCTCCGTCCGGGTCCCCCCACCCACCATGGGCCTTCACTGTCAGCCTGCATTTGACAAGCATGGTGCCCAGTTGGAAGAAGGGACACAAGGACAAGTTGGGACAGGGGCTCTGGAGCTCTGCCCGGCTGTTCCCGCTCCTCCCGCCCCCTCACCCATGTAGCTGTCATCGTAGATGGAGCTGGCCTGGCGAGTCTGCAGCTGCCCCTGGACCAGGTTGATCAGGTACTCGGGGTAGTAGGAGCGCGCAATCTGCTCCTGAGTGGCGGACAGGATCTGGCCTGGGGAGGGGGAGCAGTGGGGATGGATGCAGGGGAGGCGGCAGAGAGGGATCTGGGTGGATTTCAGAAGTCTGGTTCAAGAAGGGAAGAGGGTAGATGGATCAGGATGCGAGTCTCAAAGGAGGAGAACCAGGAGAGGCAAGGAGGCAGAGGAGGGAAGGACTGGCTGGTCAAAGCCAGCAGTGCGGAAGGAAGGCTGTGCTAGGGCAGAGAAGGCAGGGGCTTACCTTGCCAGAAGTAGCTCCCTGGGCCACCCAGGACCACGCGGCCGGTCTGTGGGGGAGGAAAGAGTGAGCCAAACATCTGGTCCTGACCCCACCCCACCCATCACCCACTGTCCCTTCCTCCTGGTCACGCTCACCTTGGTGATCTCAGCACTGAACCCGCCTTGGCAGTAACCCTGCCCTGCTGCAGAGCCGAAGTCTGTGAGGGGAGAAGATGGGGAGCGTGAGCCCTGCCCAGATGGGGTGAGCAGAAAAGCGGAGCGGATGCAGTAAGGCTGATGTGCACGGGGGCCGTGGGTAGCAGTCCAGGGCAATAGGAGACGCTCCCATGGGAAAGGTGGGATGGCTGCCCGTCCTCCCTCGCGCCTACCTGAGCGGCAAGGTGCATACTCCAAGATGCGGGTGAAGTTGCCGGTGGAGAGGTAGCAAGTACCCACGGGGTCGCTCATTGGTGGCTCCTTCTCTGTGCGCCAGCTGTACAGCGGAGCACATGCCTGGGAGGGCCCAGAGGAGGCGCTTCAGGTGCGCTTCCCATAAGGCCTTTCCTCCCTCCTCCAGACCTGGCCGCTAGGCCCCTCACCCCTAGACCCTCATAGCACAGCCCCTGGCCGCTCACCAAGATGGAGGAGCCATGGGCTCGGATTGTGGCCCCGAACCACTGCAAGGACTTGTATTCCATGGGTTCCTGTCCCTCTGTGCTGTATAATGAGGACTCCAGGATCCGGGAGCCTTGGGGAGAGGAGAAGGGGGTCCTGTTAGGCCTTGGCAGCTGGCTTTAGAGCGGCCCCCACTTTAGTCTAAGGATGCCCAGCACTCCTAAATCCCTGGGCCCCGAGTCCCACGGGTGAGGGGAGTGGGAAAGGACCTCCATCTGCTGGGGAGCCAGATTCAGGCCTCTCCTGGACACATACGGAACCTGAGGTTTCTAGAGTTCCTCCCTCGGTCCCCCTCTGTTTCCCGACCCAGCCGGGACAGGATTTTGGCAGTGGACCGAGGCAAGAGCAAGGTGGGAAGTACGGCTGTTTTCCAAGACAGTGACTCCAGCTGCACTTTTCTGTCTGTATCAGATTGTGACTCTAATGTATCATCTTGTTCCACATACTTTCTTCCTCTCCCTTGCTACACAGTTCAGGCTGATCTTGAACTTACTATGTAGTCCAGGTTGACCTTAGAGTTGTGATGATCCTTCCGCCTCAGTCTCCAGAGTGCTGGGATTGCAGGTGTGCACCACTACTCCCGCCTCCCGTATACTTTCTTGATCTTTGTCTCTCTCTCTTTCTGTCTAAGCCTCCCCTCTGCCTTCTATATAAATACCTTTCTTATTCCTGATTTGGATTCTCATTTGTTTTTCAGGCTTTCTAAAATCAGTTTGTTTCGGGGATGGGCACGTAGTAGTTCAGTGGTACAGCAAGTCTGTCATGTTTTTTGTTTGTTTGTTTGTTTTTGGTACCGGGGATCAAACTCGTGTCCTTACGCTTGCAAGGCAGGCTACCGAACCGCTGAGCTAAATCCCCGGCCAAGGCTGTCATGTTTTATGATTCTTTTTTTTCCAGTATGGGGATTAAGCCTAAACGTAGGGTCTTTGCACTGAACTATATCCTCCCGCCTTTCTTTTTATTTTGAGGCACGATCTCACTAGGTTGCCCAGGCTGGGCTTGAACTTGTGATCCTCCTGCCTCAGGCTCCCAGGGTGCTGGGGTCATAGGTATGTGCCACCCTGCCCAGCTATGTTTCATGATTTTTTTTTCTCCTCTTTTTACCACTACCTGGGGTTGAACCCAGAGCCTTTGCAGTGAGCTACATCCCAGCCCTTTCTTCTTATTGGTACATTTCAGATATACATAATGATCACATTCATCATAGGGAATTTGTGCCTGTCCATGATTATATCCTGCTTCTTTTTCTGGGAGCGGGTACCAGGGATCAAACTCAGGGCCTTGTGCTTACAAGGCAGGCACAGTGCCACTGAGCCAAATCCCTGGCCCTGTCCTGCTGCTTTTTTCCCCCATTCCTCTCCCCTTCTCACAACTCCTCTCCTCTTTTTATGTTCTTCTCTCCTTTCCCCAGAAATGGATTCAGGACCTTACACACGCTAGGTGAGCCCTCTACTGCTTTGGGTTCTCCTCTGGTCCTCTCACTGCCTTTATCTCTGGAGACAGCCTGCATTCATACCCTTGCTCTGCTATTTACTAGCTAAGTGACCTTGGCAAGCGATCTCACCCCTCTCGCCTCACTTGTAAGGTAGCTGTTGAAAGGATCAAGTGAGCTGAGGTATGTGCAGTCCTCACACCGATACTGGCACAGAGCGAGTGCTCTTGACCGGAGCCGCCAGTCTGAGGCTCCCTGCTGTATCTCTCTCTGCACCTTGGGACTTCCAGCTCCTTCAGGACGTGGCTGAATCACCTTCTAGCTGGCAGCAGCGGTACTGTACAGTGCCTGGGGTGCACTATTACACGATGCTTAGTTAAAGGAACTGAGTAGTCTGTGAGACTTTCCTCTGTCTTTGTCTGTGTTGCAGCCCTGGCCTCCCAGAGTTGTGGGTGATTCAGTGGAAATGAGAGCCACATGTTTCTGAATCATGCCCGCCCTCCTTGGGCTGGGCTGGGAACAGAGTAAGTGCCACGCGGAGCCACTGGTTGGAGCTGCCCGATGTGGGCGGCCCCTGGCCCCGGGCCCCACCCCCAGCTGCGGTCCCACCACACTCCCTGGCCCTCCCAGGGAGCACTCCACAGCCTACCTTTGCTGTCAAATCCGATGGGCGTGCACTGGCCGGGGCTGGCGCTCCAGGGACAGAAGTAGACAGCACCACCCTGCACCACTCCCGGCTGACTGGTGTTGGCCTTCGGCGCTCCCACCAGCACGCTGACCCTGAGGACGGCGGGGAGAGGCGCTTTAGAGTGGCTCCTAGCTCTGGGTCGGTTTCTCTAGGCAAGAGGGCTCAGGCTTCTGGGCCAGGCTGTACAGGGGTGGGAGAGATGCCCTCCCGGATTGTATTTTTATCTCAGAAGATGCCACAGCTGCCAGAGGCCCTGCTGGGGTCAGGTGGTCCCCATGTGCCGCTGTCACTAACCTAACCCGCCCCTCTCACCACTCTCTCTCCTCTCCTACCTTCCCCTGTTTCTACGGAGAAGAACCAGAGTCAGTTCCTGGAAGGGAAAGAGAGACCAAAGGGGCCAGAGCCCAGCGTCTCCATCTCCTCTGCCTACCTGCCAGCATTATAGGCAAAGCCTCGCTGAGTACGGTGTGCTCAGCATGCACAAGGCTCTGGGTTTTGGGTTGGATCACTAACACCAGAGGCAAAGGAGAAACATAATAATCAAGTGGAATATGTAGCCTATGATAGGAAAATAGGAAATTCAATCAGAAACTTGTGTTTTTTTTTTTTTAAAGAAAGGTCTTGCTATGCAGTTCCGGCTGGCCTTAATGTTACTATGTGGCCCAGGCTGGCCTTGAACTCAGTGGTCTTCCTGCCTCAGCCTCGAGTGCTGAGTGCAAGATTATAGGAACACTTCACCATACCCAGCTTCTTGGGCGGCTGGGGCAAGAGGACTGCAAGTTCAAGCCCAGTCTGGGCAATTTAATAAGACCTCCATCTCAAAATAAATAAAAGAGCTGGAAGACATAGCTCAGTGGTAAAGCACTCCTGGGTTTCAGTCCCAGTACCACACACACCACAAAAAGTGGGGGTGCAGTTTAGATACATAGTCCCTGGAACCTCAGACTTCTCTGGAGTTTCAGGGTCCTGTCATCTACCCTGTACCCTCCCATCCCAAGCCAAATCCTTTGCCTGAGCCAAGATCCAGGCCTGGCTGCTCAGCTATGGGGTGTGTAGGAGGAAAATGTGAGTCTTGGAAATCAGACAGGAGAAGTGACGGACAGAGAAGCTGGAGGGCGCGTGAAAACACAGATTCCCTGGGCTGGAGCTTGCCCGCACCCTGGGGCCTTGCTGTGGTCCTCACCTTCCTGGATAGGTAGGTCCCTGGCTCAGCTCTTGAACCCCGTTCCCATACACCGGCCCAGAAGACTGAATTCAAATCCTGTTCTACTGAGGCCCTCTTTCTAGAGAGTAGCTCAGTTCCCTCCTCAGGGACGTCTGCTTCTGATGGAGTCCTGTGTTGTGGGAGTCGTAGCTGAGATGTGGGACCATTTTCTTGACTTCAGTGCTGGCTCTCCACTCCTGGGCCCTTGGAGGCGTCCACGCAGCCCTCAGCTCTCTTGCGTTCTCCTCCAGGGTCTCCTGTGAAGACTCCATCTGGCGGCTTGGGTAACTTGCCCTGACCAGTGTCCCTGACAGCATCGGCTTCTGCTTTCCTCCTGTGTCTGCCTCTGGTACGAATCTTCAGTCTCTCTGGTTTCTTGGTGTAGAGTTTTAGGTTCTTTTTTTCTGTCTTGACCTTGGACATTAGGTTTCCCTATTGGATTCTGTTCCCTTTTAGCTTTCAACATTTCCAATACCCACCCTTCCCTGATCCTGGTGCATCTTCCTCAGCCTTTCTCACTAGAAAAGAAGGCCAAGAGTGTGATGGTAGTGGTCATAAAGGCTGGGGTATCTTCCAAGAGGAATAGGGGATAGAAACACTAGAGAGAACAGGCCCACAAGGGCTTAAATAGGGGATGCGTGTGGGGTGGGGGTCTATGAGGGCCAGGAGAATGGAGGAGACAGAAAGCAGGGTCTAGACTCTTGAGGAATGCAAGCAAGGAGGCAAAAGGAGAGTCCCAGAAGTTATGGGGGGTGGAGAGGGGAGGTGCCAGCTTTGGTTACCCTGGGGACAGGAAATGTTTACTGCCTGTGGCTTCCTGTCTGTTTCCAACCTCACACTTCTCCATTTGTCTCCCACCCGCTGGGCCCCACCCCTCCCACTCAGGATTATATCCAGCTGAGGGGTGGGAGCTGGCCATGCCCGAGACACAGTGACCTGGTTAGTTGCTAAGTCCAATAGATGCTGAGCTTGCAGTGCCCCAGTCTGGGCACAGAGAGAGGAGTGAACCCTTCCCTTAGCAGTAGGCGCTCCCAGGGAAGGAGGTTGCAAAAGCTACCAACCTGACCCAGACCTTTGAACCAAGGAGCCAGGAGTTTGGGTTCAGGCTCTAACTCAGAGTGGACTTGGTCAATTCCCTTTCCCTCTTTCTCTGGGTAACCTCAGAGTCTCCTGGGGCAGTGAGCTAAGATCCAGGGACCCTGTTCCCACTCCCAATTTCTCTAACACCCCCTGCTACTGCAGAGAGGCTGAGCCTGAGACTCCTGGGATGGGTTGAGGGGCCCGCTTGAAATTTAGCCAGCCTGGAAGGTGACAGGCCTTACAAACATTATAAAGCCTATGTGCCCACAGGCCAGGGGCAACCTGTGTGAAAGTTCAGGACACCTGCATGTGGGCCTGAGACACAGATCCTGATGCTGGCCCGTACCTTGGCCCTACTGCCTGAGGATTCAGAAGCCCCAGCAGGCCGCTGTCAATCCAACACACAATGCCCCACCACATGCCAAAGGAGGTACTCAATGCCAAGGATGAAACAAGATAGTTTGTTCTTAATTTCCCATTCCTTGCTGCTGCTTCCTAAATCTTGCAGTAGGGAGGACTGAGAGGGTCCGAAAAAATGACAAAGGAGGGTCCTTGGGCCATTTTCAATATTTCAGAAAGCCTAACGGAAATCATGCATTTAGCTGATAAGGCAGTCCAAGCTAATTTAGACTTCAAGTGCATTTGTTTTTGGCTGCAGTTATATCAGCTCATGTGGGGAACCTGGTTATCTCATGCCGGTCAGAAACTCTGATTGGCAGTTATGTTTTTGGTTAATAAAAAAGGCAATTAATTATAATGCAGGTTAGCAAATGAAATCTTCCAAAATAGTGTCCAGTGGAAGAAGTAATTGCTGTACTTTATTTTAAAGCCTCAGAACCCTGAGATTCTAGAGACCCTTGGAGATATATACGCTGCTGCTTTTCACACCAATGAAGATAGGAAGGCCAGCTTGGCCCTGATACTCATACTTCATCTCTATGTCCTAATTTGACTGATGGGAAATTAAGTTCCAGAGAAGTTAAATAACATATATGGGATGAGAAAATCCTTCCCAGCCTAAGAATCAGAAGGCAAGAATCCTGGTTCCTAGGCCAGCGTTCTGCTCTACTCCATCGGCAATTTATCTCCTCCTCTTCTCTCCACTATCTCTCCATGCAGGCTTCTGATTAACCAAGTTGCCGTTCAATACTCAGTTACTATTTGACTCTGTTGGCCTTACAAGGTCGGGGCAGAGAGGAGAAAGTGGACCAGGGCCCAGTTCTTACAGCAGCCCTGGCTAGGCCAAAGTGGGACACCTGCTTCTGGAACCCCAAGTATACTCACAGGGATATACCTGGTTGGTGGAGGAGGAAGAGCTAGTTACCACTCCAGCTGCCCAGGGCCAAGTCATTTCTTTTCAAGCCTTAGAGTCTCTCCTCATAAATGATGCCCTTGAATGGTCCCTAAACTAACTTCTAGCTCTGAAATTCTATGATCCCGAAGCTTCAGTTTCTATCTATCTGTCTGTCTATCTATCTATCTATCTATCTATCTATCTATCTATCTATTTTGTACCAGTGATCGAACTCGGGACCTTGCGCTTGCGAGGCAGGCAGTGGAACCACTGAGCTAAATCCCGGCCCTCTATATAAATGGGTCTGTTGCCCCTCTCTGTTTAACACAGGGATTTTTAAACAATCCAATGGAGAAACTGATATGAAAGTGCTCAAGGTATGCGAGGGATAATTATTACTATCATGATTACAAACTGGGCATGGTGATGCATGCCTGTAATCTTAGCACTTGGGAGGCTGAGGCAGGAGGACTGCCTTGAGTTCAAAGCCAGCCTGGGTTACATAGTGAGTTCAAGGCCAGCCTGAACTACACAGCAAGATCTGTCTCAAAAATAAATAAATAAATAAAAAATAAAATAAATAAATGATTACAAATAGTACTAAAAGCAGGTAAGAAATGGGAGAAAACTTAAAGAATGGTAGTCAGGGAGGAAAACCCTGTACAACTCATGCCTCCTATGCACTGCTCACCCTCTGTAGACCAGGTGCCTTTTATATACATTGTCTCATTTAGTCTTCCAATGCTAGGTGTCTGAGAAGATGAGGTCCCAGAGCTGGGGATTTAGCTCAGTGGTTCCAGAGCTGCCTCACAAGTAAGTGCAAGAGCCCAAGTTCGATCCCTGGTACCAAAAAACAAAACAAAACAAACAAAACAACAACAACAACAAAAAAACCCCAAAATAAAAAAAAAAGATGAGGTCCCAGTACAGGTCTGTAACTTGTAGGTGGTGGGGACTCACACCTGCTACTGCCAGACCGCAGGCTTTGCCCTTCCTGCTATGCAACCTCCATGCTGGCTCCCTTATCCTCTGGGGCCCCCAAGAAAAGCTATGCTCTCTCAAGTGGGGGGGGTAGCAGGCCCAGGTGTGGGGGCAGAATGTTGGGAGTGCTTCTCTAAGACGGCACTGCACAGAGGAAGGAGGCAAGCAACCGGACCCCTGGGCTCTCCTGGGAGGGGAGAGGAGAAAAGAGGATAGGAAAGGATGAGAACACTGGGTCCTGTTTTAGAAGAGGGATTCAGGGATGGTAGGATCAGGCCAGGGGCCAGACAGATACCTTGGGGAATAGGAGTGTGTGAAAGTCCAGATGTTTCAGGGGCGTGTTTTAAAAGGGAAATGACACACTGAGGAGGGGGGAAGGTTAAAAGCCAGATAACTGGATATGCTGATGGGGGGAGTCCTCATCTACTCGCTTTCTCCTCTCTACTCCATTAGGGTTTTGGTTACAAGTTTGAGGGGCCTTGGGGGAGACAAGGCCTGGCAGAGGCTCCATCCAGGCCAGAACTGATGCAATGGGGTTTGGGCCAGAGGCCAGAGGGGTGGAATGGGGGTTGGGTGGAGACCTTGAAAAGCCCAGATCCACCAGGCCTCATCACTTTCCACCCCATCCCCAAGTTCCTTGGACAAAGTAGACCTTTGTCCCCCTTCCCAATTGAGTTAAGTCAATTAAGCCCTTTTCTCCAAAAATTAAAGTGAGTAGACAGCAGTTAACTTTCATGTATAAAAACAGCTCACCTCTGACAGAGGTCCTACACCAAATCCTGAGGTGCTGGAGAGTGGGGGACAGTGGGAAGCTCAGCTCCAGAGAAGAAGGTATTACTCCAGTCATTGATGTGGCTCAGGAATCTGGCTTCTGGGGTCCCTGCCCAAGCCCAGGAGCAGTCACCTTCCTTTCTTACTTTCCAACCCCCTGCACACTTAAGTAAACACCTTTGTCCATGTGGCCCCTGTGGGCACCCCGCTTCCCAGGAATTCAGGGTTAGAGTTTGCTTGAGCTGCTGAGCTGGAAATAAAGATCCTTTGGAGACTTTCAAGATGCTTGGTTTCTTCCTTCTGATGCTCTTGGGCCCGGAGACCTGGAGTCTCCCCAGCTTCTGACCCGACCCGGCCCCAGAAGTCTCCGTCTCAGTTCAGCTCCAGCTACAGGAAATCAGCTTTTCTCTTCCTCCCAAGAGCCAGAGGAAGAGGGAAACTAACCCCCCGCCCCCCACGCGCGCGCACACACCCCTCCCGACACATCCGTACGCCGCCCTTGGCTGAGCCCACCCCCAGTTCCAGGGTGCTGGGACTCTCCCCAAGTTCTCAGGTCCCCCAGTCTGAACACATTAGGGGTGGAAGGCGGAGCTGAGGACTGAGGAGAATGGGGAGGGAGCTGCCGTTCGCCTCCCGGGTCTTTCCCCAGTCTGAGCTGAGGGGGAGGGGAGGAAGAGGTTGGTCCCCATTTAACCTTCCGACCCCCTCAGTCTGTCTCTCTTACTACGCACAGCTCCTTCGGCTTCGACCAGTTTCTTCCCCACACAATGGCTCCCTGGATCCCGAGGTCTCCCAGTAGCCACCCCCCTCTCAGCCCTTCCCGGACTCCATGCCCCTCAGCGTTCCCACCCGCCTCAGGTCTCCCGACAGTCCCCAGATCTCAGCCCGAGACCCTCAGCTCTCCGTTCATGCGCTCTCCTCTCCTTGGCCCCGAAACTCCTGCCCGGACTTCTAGTTTCGTGTCCTCTCCTCGCTCCACATGTCTCGCCCCTGATCGTCCTCGCACTCCGGGCCCCTTTCCACGCCGGCCACAGTCCAGTCGCCACTGCAGCGCTGGCCCGCAACCCAGCAGCCCGGGTCTTTGCTGACTCCGCCCTCAACCTCCAGCCCCCGGCCCTGCAGACCCTGGCCGCGTCCCCAGTCTCC